GTGGCGCTCTCTAGATGGACGGCGCCATTAGCATTTGCTTACACTGCTCATACCATGAGCTGAGTTTGACCCTAGATTCGGGAACCTAAAACCCAGCATTGCTGTAACACWCATTGAAATACTAGGAGGGAATTTAGTCTCTTTTTCAAATGTTAACAATAACTGTTAAATGATGATGATTTTTTTTTTAATTCAACAGGATTCTGGCAGGAGTGAACCATGCCAAAAAGTAGCGGCCACTTTTTTCCTGACATTTTCAACRGCGATGACTCGCAAGTTGACTTCATTCATAACATCATGGTGGACTGCAGTCAACTGAGCTGGATTAATATCTGGCTCACTGCAAACCTTTTTATCCTGGTCACGGGGGCCGTGGCCAATGCTGCCCTGCTCTGTATGTTTTGTATGGAAAGAAGAATGCTGTCGGCCTCACAGGTGYGTTCATAACTTTTAGCATCTACAATTTCAACCAATGTCATAAAACAAGTTGTTTCTGTAGAGATGCCCATACAGTTCTTAAGAGACTTTGCTACTTAAATCCACATGATTTAAGCTTACTCTTTTGGTTCTATGGCTTTATTAATTAATCATAACATTGAGTGATTGTGGTTAAAATAAAAAAGGCCAAACATACATTCTTTGGAAACAGAATAAAGAATGAAAAAAGAACATGCCATGGAGCAGTGGTTCTCAAAGTTGGGGTCGGGACCCTTTTGTGGGTCACAAAACATCAAGTGAGGATTTTTCGAATGATTTCCAGACATCAGTTTAAATGCAAAAAAATAAAATAAAATAAAATAAATAAATAAGTGCTAATGGAATATTTTCACCATGATTTTTGCAATTTTTAAAGCAATAATCTAAAAATGAAGACTATTAGTATCGTAGTTATCAGAAATTTTAAATTGTTGTTATTCCCATGTTTAACAGAGTTATTAGCAAAGTTTGCATAAGTGAATAAGTAATATCTGGGGTCGCGAGTGTCTGCAACTGTTATTTTGTGGGCCGGAAGAAAAAAACTTTGAAAACCACTGCTGTAGAATATTTGTGTTCGACAGCAAAGCACCACTTAAATAGGTGAACCTTTGTCTTCCAGGTGCTTGGTGTGAATCTCGTCATGATGGATCTCATTTACCTGTTTGCGATGCCCGTGGGCTTGGTTTACGACATGGAGCTGAATCAAAATGCAAAGAATAATTTTTCAGGTGAGGCTGTGTGGTCAGACATGAACCTGCCTGCGAGTTTGGATAAAGATGTTTTTAGACTTGCCTATTTTAAACAAATCGTTCGGTACGTCAGGCCCTACTAAAGCCAGTTGTTAAGACACAGTAATGAATAACATAAATAACGATGCTGACATGCCAGAGCTTGGTGTGGTCTGTCTTGAATGACTGGAACCTTCATGACATTGGTTCTAACGTCAGACAGCTGTGATATCTGCCAGGCATCTGGCCTCAACCCACAATGCAACCCTCTATCAAACTCCATGTTAATGGTGGTTAAAGCAGACACCTCTGTTTGGTGGTTTCCTTCATCCTCCTGGCACCATCACTCCTCTCTTGAAGCATCACTTCTGCCCTCTGGTGACCGTTTCTAGACATAGCCARCTCCTTGCAAGTTGAATTAATTTCATGTCTGAACGAGTACCAACATCCATTTTTTTGACTGTTTTTTCTAGACATTAATCCATCGATGTTACACTAAAGTTAGCTTTATTTAAGACCATAACTTTGTGATAAACTTTTGCTTTGTTTGTACCATCTTTACAGCCACTAACGACCCTTTTCAAAACATAAAACTGACAAAAGACATCTTTGACATGTTCAACCTGATTGGCTGTCCCCTGCTGCTGGCCTGCATGTGTATTGAGCGTTACCTGGCCGTGTCAAAACCAGTGATGTACCTGAAGGTGAAGCGGTGGGAGTATCGTATGGCTGTTTCTACTCTGGTGTGGCTGCTTACGCTGTCCTTTTGTCTGGCAACTGGTAAGTGCTGCTCCAGAATTATTAAAAATAACTTGTTTTAAAAAGCCTGTTTTGATTGTAGTATTATATGATAAAACCAAAATATAACCGTACCTTTTGGAAAAATGTAATATTTGTATTTTACAGGTTTAAAGCAGGACATGGTTAAAATTATGGTGTGCGTTTTTATCATCATATCCTGTCTCTTCCTTCTGATGCTCATCTGCCTCGGCGGTGTCGTCCGGTCACTCTGGCAGCAAAGCCCGGCCCTCACGACAGTTGGAGCCAAGCCCCGCTCTGCATCGCCCCTGAAGAGGCGAGCRGTGGGCAACGTGTTGGCCGTGGTGATACCCGCCGTCATGTCTTACCTCCCTGTACTGGTGTTGTTCCCTGTGGTCTTGTACACATACTACTGCAACAGCTCAATGAATAATGTCATGTGTACCGTTTATGAGTTGTCCAGGCTTTTTCCTAAGTTTGGTCTGCTCATTGGTCCTCTGTTTTATCTGTCTAAGGCCAAAAAAATGAGCTGTCTTTCTGGAGAAAAACAGAAATAATGTGAATATTAAAATAAATAAATAAATAAACAGAGCACACAAATTGTTTCGTCCTTTAGAAGTTCCAGTGTTCCAGGGCAAACTCTAATACAAGTTTCCTAAAAATGTCAATTTTAGATTATGGGGCTATATTTAAAAACTAGATATAAACAATATCATTTAAAATCTTGGACTTAACCCTTCAGTCTATTGAAATTTTGAACTGATTTCAAAACTTTCTTTCGCTGAAAAACAATCGAGGAATAAACTCTTTATTTAATCTTCCTAAGTAAAAACAGCTTTAATAAAGCTTTGTAATGATATTCTTTAYGCTGCTTTGCAATCCTTGTATGCTTACATCTGCAGCTTTTGTCATTGTTAACCACCAATATCTTATTATTCCACATTTACAACACTTTATTAGGGTTACAGGTAGGGAGACCGGGGACAGTTGCAACACTATTTAAATTTTGACTCTGTTCCTCAGAGATGGTTTGAATTAGACAAACCAAATTTGAATACAATAAATGTACACCTGTCTGTTAATAGTCAAAACCATTTATAGATGATTAAAGCATGTACATTCTCCACAATTTGAATTTGAAAATAAAAAATCTGATGTTGCAACTGACCCTGTACCCGGGGACAGTTGCAACACTATTTAAATTTTGACTCTGTTCCTCAGAGATGGTTTGAATTAGACAAACCAAATTTGAATACAATAAATGTACACCTGTTAATAGTCAAAACCATTTATAGATGATTAAAGCATGTACTTTCTTCACAATTTGAATTTGAAAATAAAAAATCTGATGTTGCAACTGACCCTGTACCCGGGGACAGTTGCAACGTTGTTTGGGGGTGGTTACAACACATTATTA